TTATTTCTAAGTTTCTAAGTAAATAAACAAAGCCTCGTCCTTAACTAAGCACTTTACCGCGGGAGAGAGAGAGAGAGAGAGAGAGAGAGAAACACACACAGAGCGAGCTGTAAACATCAGGGACAGTGGTCAGAACAAAATCTCTGAACAGTATAGGAAATGTCTGAGTAATACATGGGACTCATTTTCTGCTCTTCTTTAGAATCACTGTGATGTAGGCAGTAATGAAGGGCGAAACAAGACGCCGATTAGCATATGGTGTAATTTGTACTGTATCGTGTATGAAATGTAAGCCAAACTAACGCGGATACTTAAAGGACAATCTAAATTCGGTGACCCACGTTTGCCCTCAGTCTCAGAACGTGAACTGGTGGTACCTGCCAGCCCTGTTCCACGCGAGGGTTGTAAAAATTGTCAATATGGCAGCCATACCTGCTGAGCATGAAAGTAAGTTTTGGAGTTACTTTGTTAATTACTTTATTTTGATGCAAAGTTATCATGAATGTTCTTTGAACTCATTTAGAACTTATATAAAACAGTCGAAGAACCTATCCATCCCGAATGATAATTGAAATTCTTCGACAATGTTTATTCAAATTCACCAACATAAGACGTATTTTAAATCGGTTTATCCGGTCTAGAGATTTATTTCATGCACAGACAGATCGACAGAAGGAAGTATTTTAATTTTCACACAAAACCGTGATGACGTCTGAGCGACGGTGGAAGACGCCGACGCCTGCGTCACACCAGCACCCCATTTTGGGGGGGGGCTGGATAGGAGGACGCGACGCTGAGCTCTGCGCCGCTAATGCGATGTCGTAATAGCTAATCCTGGGGCTGTGGCCGACCTGTTATTATCTGCGAAAACTTCCCTATCGGCAGTCCCACGCCAACACGACACACGCTGATTGTTAACAGATTCTGTCGTCTCTGAATTTCCAGAATACATTCTCGTGACTGCTATTGTAATTTGTTTCAATCACGCCATGTTTACAGATCAATAGCTTCACGTGGTGTTGTTACATGAAATGAGTAACCGGTGGTCTGCACACAAGATGTATTCCGTGCCCAAGATTCCTATCATCAATTCTGCCACCAATAAACGTATAGAAGTTTTATCTATCGCATAAAATCTTTGTTCCTCCGATTTCCTTCCTGTGATTGCTAGGATGTACAAAACACTCAGTCTTTACTGTGTTTCACCGCTAATAAACAACTTAATGCATACAGCGATCGCAATACGTCACCATGTAAGTAAACAATATAAGAATGTTCATTATTTCATTCAAGTTTCGGGGGGAACGACTGGCACTTTGGCTTGTGATTATAGGTACTGGGGATACTGGGAACGACCCGTTCTTCAAGTGCCTGAGCACTGCGGGTCCCCAACTTTTTCGTTGGCTTGATCTATAGATATTTGGTAGGACTCCTTAGACGAGGGATCGGCCCGTCGCAAGGCCTCTACCTGTACACAGGACAGCACAACGAACATCCATGGCTTGAGTGGGATTCGAACCCATGGTCCCAGCGGCACAAGGCTGACGCCTAAGACCCGTGGTTATAGATAAGAGGAACTAACTAACTAGATGGCTAGAGGGCCACGTCCTTTTGGAAGATACGCTTATTCAGGGCCCATTCTGACAATCTTCCATTTTTCAGTTTGCAAATGTTCATTCCAAGTTCTTGTATTTTTTCACTATTTTTTCATCTCTCGTATATATGTTTATTTAATTTTAAGCGGTGTGTATTTGACATTCTTTTACTTATCTTAACGATTTAATCCCCGCAGCTTACATTTCTGTTTTTATTGTCCACTCTTCTCTCTCTCTCTCTCTCTCTCTCTCTCTCGTCTTTCCTCGTCGTTCTCTTTGTGTTTTTCAGACACGGCTTGAAATGTAGACGCTGCCTGTGAGTAAAGTAAGTATGAGTACCAATTTTGTTTAATTTCATTTGACTCGATATAAATTCCTGTAAATTGTGTTCCTACTATCTGCAGCCAGCTACTAGTTACAAAGACTTGTAAGTGACAGGAGTCATTATGTGTTATTGTTCAAAAAGGTGTATAACCGGAGTTTGTATTGTTGACTGCATTAGTTTCTAAACTTCGAAGCTATTCACAGAAACCCTTCTGACAGCCAGGAAGACAATGCATCAAGGCTTAATATCCGAGCTAGCGACACGCCTACCAAACGGAGTTTCTCTGCCAAGGATCACGTCGAACATTCTGCAACTAGGAGCTCAGCCAATAGCAAAATTAGTTCATTTGAAACAAGGAATAAAAGAAGGCGAGTTTATTGAACCGGAAGTCCGAACGAAATGCAAGTTACTACTCTTTAATATTCGTTATTATTCATTTCCGCTTCCGGATGGACAGACACAAATTCACGTTACTCCGAAATTTCGGCAGTCCCCAAAATGTACAAGGCCCTATTTTAAAGTGGAGTTCTGGAAAACCTTCTGATTCCACGAAGTAAGTGGGCAATTCTTTGACAAGCCGAGTATGAAGTCGACGTTTCAAAGAATCTCCAGCACCACAGAGTGAGTCAAGTGAGTCTTGGTTGAACGTAAACGTCAGTGGACGATTTGTAATTAGATTTTCAGATTGTTAAAATTATCTAATCAAGTCCCAGCTTCTTCTCCAGAAACGAAAATTGTCAGTCTGTGAGCTATAATCCTTGTCACAACATTTAAGGTTCGTGTGTTGTTGCCATGGGAACAGAACTGCAGAACAGCTGTTCTGAGCCACACCTCATGCCCAACTTATTGCCCTTAAGGTTATCGTTCCCTGTCATCCTCACTCTAATTTATTTATTTCGTATTTAAAAATATCACGAATTGCAATTTCTCTTCGATCAGTTGAGATGTACCCGAAGGCCGTCACCCCAAGGCCTTCGGCTTTTAGTAAGGTGTGTCCGGGTACAATACCCATTTCCAGTACCCAAGGACGGGGCTTCGTAGCTCACAGGAATTTGTCTAACTTACAGTACCGCAGCTAAAAATGGCGGCCGTGTTGAAGAATGAAATAAAATGATTATGGTTTTTGTTCCGAGAGGAAATTTTCCACAGAATGCAATTTTTATATTTTTTTCTGATCTTATTGCCATGCGATACTAGCACATACTTTGCGTAAATGAAACAAAGACTCCTACAGTTAATACGGAGTGGTTAGATCTCAGATCTTGGCCCCGGAGACCGTCTGCAATGACTAAGGTCCTCCGCGGTCTTCCTCAATTTCTTCTTGGAAATTCCGGGTTAATGACTTAAATTAAGCAACTACGTCCCTTGTATTTCATTACTTACTTATCATACTTTAGTTAATTCAGCGCCGTAAACTCTTAACTGCTTGTAGCGTAAGTGCGTTGAAGTTCATTTTCGCTTAAGAGAGCGTCCTCCTTTTACGCGGTAATCTGTTTGTGTCCCTTACGAACGGTGTATCTCTGTTTCAGCAGCTGTAATAACACTTTGATACAGTCCTCGGACAACAAGTGCGAGGCGAACTCGGTAACCTATTTCCCACAGTTTATTTCTATTTATGAGATCGAATGCTGTTTCATGATCCGTGAAGCACAGACGCGTTCGAGCATTTGTAGTCCTGTCGTATCCTAGCAACTGTTTCGAAGCAACATCATCTTCAACAGAAGATAGATCTTCATGATCTAAAAACACTTCGTTTATCCAAAATGAGCTTTTTTCACTTCCCTACCAAGTATTCCCTGGACCTTCGCCCCCTCACATCGCCTTCCTCCCGGCCCTAACTTCCCCTCACTTTTCTCCGTTGTTGACTACCTAGCAGGCGTTCTATCTGAGCTTCACTAGTATTAGCCACATTATCTATTTCTCTTATGTTATCATTTAATTTCATTGAGTCAGTTTTATAGGTCTTCTGCGCTCTGAAGTGGCGTTACGGTGACCGGCTGTTATGAACGCGGTAATGAACTCGCTGGTTCCATAAAAGGCGGATCATGTCATGGGTTTCTTCTGCCTGTGTTGTATGCACTCACTAAGCCTCTTGTTTCTACGATTTTCTGCTCACTACCGAATTAAATTTGAAACGCGCGTACTGAAGACGCCGCGATTTCAACGGAGATCCCCCCCCCCCACATTTATCTTAAATATACCACAGACTTCTCTTCCCAATTCGTGATCATATTTACGTTTAATACAAATGTGAATGAGCTCATCACCTGACAGATTGACATCGACTAACCTAACCTACACCCCAACAAATCTTTCTCTGTGTTAACCTGAATATTTAAAAAAATCGCGGAAAACCGACGAACTTTGTAATCATCTTCTCTTGACCGAGAGGCAAACTTTTATAAAACAGACTGCTCATATGTTTGCCTTGGGGAATAGGAGGTTAATGAGGTATTGTCTTCTTCAGGAGGGGTGTTCAGCTCATGCAAACAACACAAGGGCCCTCTACCAGGGGAGTCTACAAACACAAGCGTTATCTAGATAAGGGTACATGGTGTTCGCGAGAGAGTCTTAGGGGCTGCTTCCAGATCAACAAAGCAGATGTGAAGGGAGCATTCAGCTCCTATTCATAAGCTGAAGACACAGAAGTGGCTTTCGAAAGCGTCTTTCCATTTCCACGGTCCGGAGAACGAAGGGAAGATGAAAGGAGTTAATCCTTTGTCAAATGTCACAGTTTTTGTATGTACCGATGACACAAAACTAATACGTCCGAATGCAGTTCTGTGCTAATGACTGTCGAAGTAGGTTTTATTGCTGTAAATGCAATTCGCAAACAACCTGAAAGCAAAACAAAGCCAACACATTACACTCTTATTAACATGGCTTCAGAGAAGTTTCGTGGAAACGCTGGTAGCTTAAACCTTGAAATCTTAGACGACCAGAACTTTCTCATCGGATAGATGCCGATGGCATCTTTACATTCCGCTGATGTTCTGTTTAAGTTGTCTCAGATTCGAGAGTGGATTTTGTATGTTCTGTTCCGAGCAGTGTATAAGTAAAATTTGTTTCTTTGCCTGCAGGTAAGTCAGTGGCTCCCCTTCGTCTGCGACAGCGTCTCCTGCACGGCTGTGCTGCGGGTTGTAGCAAGCGCCTGACATTCGTGTCTAACGAGTATTACGTGTAGAAGATATGAATCGATTTCGCTCTACGTGTCTCAGTCAAATGAGGACAAAGCTGTGAGTAATTACACTTCACACTAGCTTCTGTGTGTTTGTTTAGTATCATTTTCTTATTTTTTAAATTTTCCTCTCTTCCAAAAGAATTGCCTATGGTGTCTCAGTATATTTTTCGGGACCTGATGAATGTCACGTTACTTAGAAATAGAAGTGCTTAAATGTAAGCTATTTTTATTGCAACTCGTAGAAGCCTTCAACTTCCTGGTTGGGAAATATGTACTGTAAAGCTTAAAATTCTGCTAATTGCCTCAGATCTCGTTTTGCCGGGGAAATCTTGCAAGATGTGCCCTAACCACATTCACCTCTTCCGGTCTCTACTTGGTGCAGAAGTGACTTAACGCCACGACGATCAGCATTGATAGCCCTGTTAACACTGGTGATGCTTGTGATGATACGAGGTTCGATCGGAAAGTTTCAAGACTGCGCCTATAAAAACCCGTACACTTATCTCAGGTATTAAATTCATCCATCACCCTCGAAGTAGTTCCCCTGGGAGTGAACACAACGACCCC